AGGGGGGGTCAGAGACGAGGGGGGGAGCACACCATCACACCTCCCACTGTGTGTCACTGGGAAAAGCCTGGTTCCGTCTTTTCCTTCACTTCCCTGTAGGTAATAGAAGGCTGCTGTCGGGTCTCGTGAGTCTCTTCTGCAGGCTGAACAAGCCCCAGTACTTCAGCCTTTTCTCACAGGGCAAGTGATTCCAGGCCACTCACTGTCTTGGTGGCCCTCTTTCTTCATTCATTTTATTTTCCTTTTATCAATTAAACAGAGTCCTTGCCAACTCTTTTATCAGAGTTTTCATATACTTCAAATATGTGGATTTAGAGTATTTTAATTACTATTTTTCCACCTATATGAAGGTTTCATAGGACAGGTAGACTGGCTAACAAGATCATACTCTAGTATTGGAATTACAGTATTCCAGGGAGGCTACAGCACTGAGATACATATAAGGCAGTAAAAACAAAGATTATTTATTTTTCATTTTTCTGTGCATCTGAATGCCTCCCACACCCTACTAGTTACAGCTGTGCTCTCTAAACAGTAGACTGTGTGTGTCTTTACAGGCAATTAGGTCTCCTTTTTGACTCAGTAGTGTAGAATTCTTCCAGAGTGTTTGTATGCATGTGTACGTACATCAACAGTGTCTGCAGTGTTGCATAATACAGTTGCTGCACAAATTGTGTGAAGCATTGTTTTGTCCAGTGGCATTGTTTGTCTAATTTTCTTGGAGGTTGATTATGATCCCTTGATACTGATTACATAAAGAGTTGTTATCCACAGATTCCTCTCCTACAGAAATTTTTTTTTTTCAAGTAATTAATGTGTAACGTGGAACTATAATTTCAGTGTTAACCTTTGCCATGCTGAAGACCGATCCTTCTCTTCCATGGTTTGTCTCATACTTGGTCTTGGAGTTTCTACATTCTGTTCCATCTCTTCCCATGATCATTTAGCTAAAACTTTATGGAAGTTTTGTTGGCTAAAGAAAACTTACAGAGACTGCGGTACCTGAAACAAAGTGCCATTCTCTTACCTCTCTAGTTCACAAATGGTTTTCTGTAGTTTTACTGTATTTGTTCAGCTTTTTTGGTTCCTGTTATTCATCTGTAGGTATACTTGTTAGTTTACCTACGTCTGTGTTTTAAAACAAACAAAAACCCCAAAACCACTAGGTTGAGCAGGGCACAGAAATCTGATTACTTGCTGTCTAGAAGATTGTATTCTAATAGGGTTTTTTTTACAGCATATCACATCACGAGAAAATAAGAATATAGGCTTCCTTTCCAACTGGCTTCTGGATGCTTTTTTCCCCTGTGACTTTAATCGCGATCTTAAATAGTTTTCCACTGTCAGTCTTTCAAGAGCTAAACAAGTTTGTAATTATTTAGCTTTGTCAGTTATGTTGAAAAGATTAGTGGGTATGGGGCCAACTTTATTAGTACCTTTAGCAGCTACTCTTTTAAAAGTTGTGGCATCTTACATTTTAGAAAAGATGTCAGCTCTGTATCTCAGAAATTGCCATGATCAGATGGATACTTGTGCATTCCAGTACTACCATCAGTGTTACGTTATGTTGGAATGTGGAAATTGTTATAAGGAAAAAGGGAAATTATCTGTAGTAATCTTCCTGACTTATACATGCAAATATAAATTAATATTCAGAGAAAGTGACAAAACTAATTTATCAGGTGAAAACTAGCAAAAGATATAAATCAGGTTTTTTGTGAAACAACACACTGTCAGCACATTGTGTAGTGCTTGACCAAGAACATATAGAAAAATTTACTGGGTTTGCATTATTTGGTTCCTTGTTCTGAACATTCCTCACACTAAGCTGATCAGCTGAACTGATTTGATCTCCTAAAATAGCCCAAAAATAATCTAAGTGAGGAGAAAGAAAGTTTTTTGACAGGTTGGTGAGATGAATATGTTTATTGTGCAGTCAGATGAGAATCAGCAGAGAAAGGGCTGACAGAAGAGACAAACCAGTACAGAGGATAAGTCATTATCTCAATCTAAACCAAGGCCCTTGCTTTCCTTGAACTAATTTCAGCTCTAAACAGCTTCATAAAATTTAAAAGAACATAGGAAGGGCAGCACCAATTCTGATTCAAGGTCTGGTCCATCCAGCATAGATTGCTGTCTTCAACAGCATCCATAAGCAGATGCCTAGGAAGAGAAGGAATGGGGCAATTATCCTCACTTTCCCTTCCCTCACACCCCTGCCAAAAAAAAAAAGTCTCACTTTTCAACTATTTTCTGCTCACATTTTGTTCTGAATGGGGTGTAATGTGATTTAATGAGCCCTATTGGCTCTCTCTTCCAAGTACCTATATGCAGTCTCTCCTTGAGGCCCTGTACACTTTGTGCATCTATAACAACTTTCAGCAAGGAGTTTCATAAAGCTACTATTCATGTATCAAAACCCTCAAAATTTTGTTTGTTTTGAACTTTGATACAAATTGTGTTGTTACACTGTGGTTGGCTGGACTACTGTGTCTCCTAAATAATGACGTAAAGCTTTTGAAAAGTATTATCTGTGCATAACTTGTAATGATATCTGCAGCCAGTCTTGGTTTAAAAGCATTATTTATTTCTGGAAAAGATGACTTCC